TACTGGCTTAGCCAGAAGAGGGCTTTTAAGAATGAGAAACCTAAGTTCTTACTATAGAACTTGTCCCTTAGGGCACTGTCTGAAAATAGAGCTACAGCAACAAAGTCCAGACTCGAAGGGAAAGTTTGAATTCAACATTACTTCCCTTCATGGCTCTCTTGTGTGATTGTTGTTCCAAAAAATATTTTCCCTTTCCCCCTTTTTATTGCTATCTTACAACTATTTTTTTAAGTTTTATCAACTTCTGTTTCCAACCAAGATGGGGTAACAGGTGAGATGTTACCCATGGCCATGGGAGGAATCATCCAGGAAAATGACAGAGTAAGGTCTTCAGAGCCCACACAGGGCCAGGCATGGTGCCTGTCACCATCCCAACAGGGTGGTGGGTAGGGAACCCAGAGAATGTTGTCCTAGAGTAAATGCTACCTTGGTCCCCAAACAAGATTAAGTTCAAGACCCAAAAGGCTCAAGATATTTCCATGCAATGTACCCATATCCCACAACAAAGCTCAAACAAATTTACAGCAACACAAAAATACCAGCCCCCTTACAAGGTAAACCTCAGTGTCTAGAGCCGGTGAAAAGTCACAACGCATTGAAAGCACAGAAATGTAACCATAATAAGAAAAAGTCAACCAAGCAAAACTAAGCCAGAGATAACACAGATGACAGAATTAGTACTGAAAGGAAAATAAATGCTTACTGTGACTATACCACATACTCAAGAAGCTAGAAGACAGGCTGAGTACTAAGTAAAGATGCAGAAAACACACATTAAAAAACAAACTAAAGGTCTAGCTATGAAAACTACACTACACTAGGTGAGAGTAACCAAAAAGGTTACTAATCATGAAGAAACAGCAACAGAAACATCCAAAACATAACACAGAGATGGGGGAAAAGCAGAGCTTTGGAGCTGGGGAGACAATCTTCTATGTCCCTATGCCTTGGCAACTCCAGTTATAAAGGAGGGGAAAAAGGGCCCAAAGTTCTTCAAGTTCAAAAATCCTGAGTACACTATTCAAGTCCCATGAATACCACACACCGAAAAAAGATGAAGAAAAGTACAGCTAGACAAATCAAAGTCAGATTGCTTAGAATCAGCCAGAAAAATCTGGCAAACTGGGAATACAGGGAAATTGCCTTAACCTGGTAAAGAATGCTGTAGTGGGGACAGGAAATGCCCCGAAACACTTGTGGATCAAAAGCTTGGTCCTTAGCCAAACAGTGCTCAGAGGCAGGGCTTTGAGAGGTAGTTGGATTATGGTGGCTCTAATTTATCAATGAATTCATAGCTGAGTGGACTATTAGGGGATAGGGCCTATTTTGGAAGGAGTACGCTATTGAGGGCATGTCTGTGAAGGGTATATCTTGCCCTGGGTCACACTTTCTGCTCCCTGGCTGTCATGAGGTGTGGAGCTGTGCTCTGCTCTCCTCTCCTCATCGTGATGCTCTCTCACTGACTGTCCAACAAGGCTTTGTATCTAATTTAATTGTGTGGCATCCAGTTTTTATATGTAGGCCATGACTATACTTGGATTATACCATCAAGTTAATTTTAATTAAAATACATGTAGTTTACAAAAAAAAAATACTTTATGTTCTTTCAGAAGACCTGAGTCCCATTTTTAGCACCCACATGGCCACTAGGTGGAGACATTGTCTGCAACAAGGAGGGGTGGACTAAAGAGCTGGGTGAGATGCAGCTTGGGTCACAGTCAGGACAGGCTCAATGGCACATTTGCTTCTGGGAAAGAAATTCTCCATCCTTATGCCAATGTTCCTAGAAGCAACGTTTTCCTTCCTCTGAACCCCTTAATGAGTCTCTTGAGCCTGCCTTAACTGTGTATTTCCAGCAATATGAGCTTCCTTGTTACTAAACCAGGTTCTGGCAGGATTCCTGGCACTTACTGACATGGGTATTTGAGCAAGAAAAACATTTGAGTAAGAGAGATAACCCCCTGTAACTCCAGTTCTAGGAAATCTTTTGCCCTTTTCTGATCTCTGTGGGTTCCTACACATACATGGCAAGTAGGAATAACTTTTTTGTTTGTTTATTTTGTTTTGTTTTCTTGAGCCAGGGTCTTCCTGTAGCCCCAACTGTCCTGGAATTTACTATGGAGACCAGGCTGGCCTCTGCCTCCCAAATGCTGCCTCTGCCTCCCAAATGCTGGGATTAAAGGTGGGTACCAGCACGCCCAGCTCTGTAGGAATAACTTGTACAATATGGACATAATCTGGGCAAAAGACTTCTACCTAACTTTGCAACCAAAAAGTTACTGTTTATACTGTAAACAAGCTCACTGAGCCATATTCTCCTCTTCTGACATGGGCTCCTGACCTGCTACTCAAAATAATGAATGTATGTATGAATGCTTAACGTATCAAAGTGCTGAAAGTCGTGCACTTATTTCATTGAAAAAAAATTAAAAAACAGAGAAAGTCTGTTTATGGTTTTACGTGTGTATGATATTCTACGCCTAGAGATCAAAGAGCAAGATTTTCTGATAAGGGTGGGTCCTGACATCCAGTTCCCCATTTCATACTGGAGATACCTGTTTCAATAAAGAATGAGTGAAGCCCTTGATGGGGAGCCCAGTTCTGAGAGACAGCTGAAGGAACCGGTGCTTGGCAGTTTGAGGCCACTCTTGGCCCCATATGAATGCTAAGAGTCAGGCTGCCTTTTTGAAGCATCGATGGCACACATTCATATACTCAGGCATACACACATATACATTAAATAAATGAGTAACTAAATAAACATATACATAAATACAGTACTGAAGAGAGGGCTGAGATGGGATTACCTTCCAGTCCCAGCATATACTCAGGCATACACACATATACATTAAATAAACGAGTAACTAAATAAACATATATATAAATACAGTACTGAAGAGAGGGCTGAGATGGGATTACCTTCCAGTCCCAGAGGTGGCAGGTGCCGTGGTGCTGGCACAGAGTGGTAGACAAGGAAACATGCCAGCATGCTCATCTGAGACTCCTCAACAGGCTGTCCACTGAGGTAGGCATGCACACACATGTCACCTCCAGCTGGGAGGGAACACAAAAGGAGCTAATCAACAGGACAGAAATGAGAGGCACAGGAATTCCTATTTTTCTTATTTTTTCATCAAAGGCATACAGAGCCCTTGGCACAAACCAGGTAATACAACAAAGGTCCAGAGGCAACAGTGACCTCTCATTGCAGGGTTTAGACTGAGTGCTGAAGGAGTGAGAAATTTGATACAAATAATGAACAAACAAATGTACAGTAACAAATTGGCATTAAGTGTTACAACACTCTCCCCAAACACCCAACTGCCCTACCTTTCTCTTCACAATATAACACTGAGGGACTGCCTTCAGTCCAGGACTAGATTCTATTTATTCTTGGCTAGAGATTATCAAATTCTAATGCCTGTCACAATCTCATAGAGGACTTCTGAAACACAGTTTGACCCACATTAGAGTTTCTGATTTGGTAGGTCTGGAGTCAGAATAACTGCATTTCTAACAGGCTGCAGGAGTTACTGCTGCTATACCAGGGACTAAACTTTGAGAGTCATTGGTTTAGGGCAATCAAGGCAATCCCATCCCCTAAACACAGGGGTCATCTGAGGGAACGCAACCTAAGCTTCTCAGTTAAGACATTCTCTGCAACAAGGAGGGGTAGATTGAGGAATCCAGGTAAGATGAAGATTGGGTCACAGTCAGTAGGAGAGGCTCAATGCTGCAGTTGCTACTGGAGAAGAAATTTCCTCCTCTTTATGCCAATGTCCCTAGAAGCAACTCTTTTCCTCCCTCTGAGCATCATGATAATCTTGAGGGAAGGAACTGCTATAGCCACTGTTTTACCAGGAGAGGACAAAGTGACCACACGGAGGATAGCCAACAGAACTTCAGGGAAATGATGTTGAAGCCCCATAATAAAGGAGTCTCTCAAGCCTGTCTTAACTTTGCACTTCTAGTGATATGAGCTTGTTTCCATCCTTGTTATTAAATCAGGTTCTGAGGAGTTCTGACTTATTGACACAGGCATTTGAATAAGAAAGAACATTTGAGAGAGCAAGTAAGAAAGATAAAGGTCTTACTTCCAAAACAGTAAGAATACCCACCCCCCAACCACTCAGGTTTTACCACATTCCACAACATTTTCAAATCAGAGACTCTGCCAAAATTATGACATACTTATCATTAGCAAAGGCCCCT